CCGCTAATGTATACGGTAGAAAAGAATGGAGAAGTTGAACTGTAAAAATGGAAGGAATAGCTCGTCACATACCACATACTCTCTAATCTAACAACTGTGAGCATCCATGTGAGCAAACATCATTTTGTTAATAGTTGTGTATTCCCTTTTCTTTTAAACTAATACTGACGCAAACCACAAAAAAAATCATGGGAATTGACCAGCTTCCGAACGATTTACAAAGAACTTTTTTTGTATTCTGTGGCATAGACTTTTTTGTATGGAAATAATCTAAGGATTTTCCTCTGATTAGCGAAACGAAAAAGCAATAAAATACGTTTTGTAGCCCATAAACAGTCCTACTATAGTTAACATTGCCAATATGAACTATCGAAAGTTTTTATCAAGTAGGTTGCGCTCATCGACATTGTTACGCCGCTAGGTATGCACCGGTATCGGTATACCGAATACCGAAAATACCGACATTTTTTATACGGACTTTTTTAGATTTTTTCATCTGAAATGACATAGTTTAGCATCCTGGATATCCACAAAGAATCAGAGATGCAAAACAAGAGCTTTGTTTGCTTTCTATGGCCAAGGTTTTCCTTTATTTTCTATGTAAGTTGTCCTTACACATGCTGAGAGTACCCAGTTGAATGTTTTTTGTGTTCTGACTATCCATGACGCTAAACTGTCTCATTTCAGATGAAAAAATCCAAAAGAGTCCAGATCGAAAAAAGTCGGTATTTCCGGTATCGGTATGGATACTGATACCGGTACATGCCTATACGCCGCACAACATGCCAACTTTTTCATAGCTGAACAATTATAAAAAATATTATACTATTGATTCTTTGTTCCAGGTGAAAAATTTTATAATAGAAATCAAGAATAAAATCATCCTTTTCATGTTGAAACAACTATTTCAAAATGAGATGTTTCGTCTTTATTCTAAAGACATCATCGACTCATTTTGAAACACTTATTTCAAGATTTTTCGATGAAATGTGATTTTATTCTTGCTTTTTAATAATGTAAAGTTTTATAATAAAAAGATTTTATTATAAAACTTTACATCAGTTGACTGATGATGTCTTTAGAATAAAGACGAAACGTCTCATGTTGAAATAGTTATTTCAACATGAAAAAGGTGATTTTATTCTTGATTTCTATTATATTATACTATGTTTTGGTTGTTACGGTGGAAACTCGAAATTTTACAATCTGTAGAAATACATGAACAATATGTATACAAGAAATGACGAAGGAGAAAGAATCACCCAATGTTGAATAGGGTTTTTTTGTGTTTATCATCGACGAAATCGCTCCTTATGTGCGTTAGTGAACTATACGTTAGGTAACAAAATACCACCGACGATTTCGCCATCCAGTCTCTGTCGACGCTTTTCTAGAACGCGTCCGCTGGAACTGAATATTCTTTCTGAAGTCGCTGAACTTGCAGGTATACCTACTAATGATATCACCAGCAAACTTAATTTCGAGTATATCAATGAATGTTTCTTCCACCATGACAATCTAAAATATACAAGAATTATATGTGAATATATTTAACTATAGAGCAGACAAACGCACATGCGTTGCATATGTTAACTATTCGTTTTCGTTAAAGTAAGACAGTCGCGTTCTAGGCGCATTACTCATATAGTCTTCTCTTTTGGAAATGTAAACTTCCCTGTTGCTATACTGTTCCACCTCATCCTCTTCTTTATCTGAATTCCACTCATTTTCACCAACTTAGTCAAATATAACGTCTTCAGCAATCAGATGAGTTCGCCTTTTTTTAAACTTTATTTCGGGGAATATTCGTTGTTGTTGATGTCAGTACCGCTTGTTGTGGTTGAGCGATTCCGATTGTTCGCAACAATTTTTTAGTATCTGAATGAATAGTATGTCGATCAGTTTCATCCAATGCCTAAAACATCGAGTGAAAGAATACAGCACATATATCAG